CCTGTCATCCTCTAAATATTCAAAAATCTCATTAAGACATTCAGCGGGAAGTTTAAAGGGCATATTTAACAAAGTTTTCTTAAAGAAAAAAAAAAGAGAGAGAGAGAGATATTTCTTTAAAATTTAAAAAGTTGTAATGGTAAAAGAAAGTTCATTTTTGTATAATAAAATTTTACCTTTTATGCAAATTCATTTGTAAATTGTGTAACAAACTGCGTGTTAAATGTTAGGCAAAATTATGTTTTAATTTGGTTTAAATCTGGCTATTATTAGTTCATATCCTACAAAATACGATCAATCTCCGATCCTTTCCTTTATATTTTTATTATTATAACTTGATGATACCTTTTGAAGTTGTCAAAATTTTTATCTTATTCACGTGTACATTAATTAAAAGTTCATTATAAAAGTCTCTTGTAAATTATTAATTTCAAAATACTACTAGTTCCAATCATTCAATGGTACATAAAATCGTTAAAATAGTTTTGACCTCTGATTAATTTGGTAATAAATTATTCGACCTTTGATTAGATTATTAAGTACGAGTTAAAGTAGGGATTTCCTTGACTTGATATTATATATATGTTGATATTATGATAAATGTTGGAGAATGATACTAAAGGATTTTCTTTCTTCAAGTAAATTCAGTACTATTGTTCGTAAAATTATTTCCAAGATCAATTATACTCTTTTTTTTTAAAAAAAAAATTAAATGTAATAAATGCGTCACATATTGGCTATTTACCGGCATTTCTAAAATAATTGGTGCTAGGTATTATTAATATACTAATTATTTGTTTTTGTTAACTTTCGTTGCACGCGTTCATTAAAAAAAAGAAAATCATAATTAATAGATCTGAAATTAAAAATTGGCCGAAACTTCATTAGCATTTCAGGATAACTAAATTTTAGATCTATTTATAAGCGCTCATGTAATTTTCATTGTATCATCGAGGTCATCCACAAATTAGATCTTTGAAAATTGTAAATCGAGAATTGGTCAAAAAATTTGATCGATTATGTTTCCAAGTGACTTTTGTTTCGGACTATCCCTTATTCTGGAAATTGCTTTAGATTCATCCAAAATCAAGGGTTTATCATTACAATATTCGTCTGTAAGAAGATGAGTAAAATCAAAACGCGTGACAATACAATTAATACAATTGCAATGGCTTAATAAAGGTTATAATAGGGTCAAACCTGTTGTTCTTGTTGTTCTGTATTTCTAATTAACATTGTAATATCTCGATTTTTTTAAAAAAAAATATTCCATTTTTTTATTGTTACAAAAAAACAAGGCTTACAATTGACTGCTATGGACTACATCGGGACAGTGACATATTAGGTAATTATGTCAAACCCTTATTAAAACAAAATTACTAATTAAATTATTTCTTCCATCATTTTTCCTGTAAATCCAACTAACATACGTTATTAAGATGGACCAAAATACAGTGTATTATCAAAAATGTAAAAGTAACGATCATCCGGTCACTATTTAAGAGTTGTACGATAACTTTTACTGGTTAATAAATAATAAAACAAACACAAACATAATAAATATATAATCACTTACGTATAAAGGTCCATCATTGCAAAAATAATAACGGGGTATAACATCAAAGGAGGAGGTAGATAAGGTGAACAATACCCCAGGCATGTCGTAATCTGTTAAAATATAATCTTTACATTAACATTTCATAAATTAATAAAAGGTCGTCTCTTTTGATCAATACCTTCAATACGACCATGAAAAATTTAAGAACTTTCCACCATCCACTTTCAAATTTATAAGCACATAACATTTTATAAAGTGAATTTCTTAAAGGTGATGCACGAATAATGGCTGTTTGGCTATCATCAATCGATTCATTCTTTAATGAATGAATAGAATAATAAATGAGTAAAAAAAAAAAAATTTAACGATCAAAAATAACATGATTCTACCTGAACTACTGAAGTTTGTCCAACGTCAAAATTCCTTTCAACACCAGAATTGGAAGAACTTTCGTTAATGGTCTCCTGCAAAACTTGAACTTTCTCAACAATTTTATTACGTCTACGTAAATTCGCTGAGTCAGAAGGTTCAGTAGATGAATCATCTAACATCGATATTGGATGAAGATCAACTTTACTCGTAGTGGAATTGTCGGACAAAACGGGGAACTCCAAATCTGGCGATAATTCGACATCTTCTTGACTTGATAATGAAACTATTGTATTATTTGAAGGAATACGAACAAGTTTAGACGATCCTCTTTGTACGATAGGATCTGATGTGATGTGTGGATTAAATGATGATTCCTATAACGGCAATTCAAAAAACTATTTAGAAATTACCAAACCCATAAAAAATGTAATTTTAAATAATTACGCTTACAACTGGAGCTTCGTTATAAACGTTGTTTGCAAACTTTGCTCGAATATCTCCAACAGATTTCAATATTTCATCACAAGAAGGTCTAATTTTCTTATTCTTTGACAATAATAATTTAATCAAATTTTTAAGTTGTTGAGGGATTATATATGATGAACTTGAAGAAGCCAAGCTTTCTGGGAATGAGACTCTACAAAAAAAATTTTAGGGCTGTTAATATTTCATTATAAAAATAATTAATTGCTCACGAAAAAAAAAAAATTGAATATGACTAACCCTTCAAAATGTAAAATCTCCTCTTTCAATAAGTCAACATCATCAACTTGATGATAAGGAAGCCTTGAATAACAAAGATAATAAAGAACCATTCCAAGTGACCACATATCAGATTTTGGTGAATAATCTTTATAAAAATTTCCTCCTTCATCAACTACAGATGTGTATATATAAATATGTATTTATTTAAAAATCTTTAAATAAAAAGATAATAAAAATATTAAACGTAGATTTTTACCCGACAATAATTCCGGCGCCATAAATTCGAGCGTTCCGGTAGCACCGGTTCGATCACGTTCTGAAAGTTGATCTAATATTTCACACTCACCAAAATCTGAAATCAAAACTCTTGGTCTGATAATAAAACACCCAAATTGATTTCAATAAATTATCGAAATAACATATATATATATATATATATATATATAATATCAAAATACTAACATGGCAGTTCTCTCTTCGTCATAATGCAATAGTAAATTCGAAGGTTTCAGGTCCCTATGCACAATACCATGCCTATGTAAATGGGCCAACCCTTCACAGATATCTATGAAAAATAGCCAAATCTCTTGTAAATTTAAAGAACGTTTTGATGGTACACGAGTTGATGATTGTTCGGGTGCATGACTCATTCTCCTTGCACGTAATATACGTTCTTTTGTACTAAATTTCGCTTCTTCTGGATCTTGTTGCATTGAAAAAGTTGATGAATGTTCAATATATTCCTCTAAATTCCTTCCATTAGCAAACTCCATTAAAATAAATAAACACGGAACTTGTGGTCCAAAATTTGTTAATTGATGGTTTTCTAGCCAAGCGTGCTTATAGTCCACAATGTTTGGATGATGTAATTTTTCCAATAAATGAACTTCCCTTAGCATCCTAACCAACCACGCATGATCATCACCAACAGCAACTTTCTTGACAGCATACTCTCCCAACCGTACATTATCCAAAACATGCTATTTATTTTTTTTTTTGATTATGAGTTTAATGAATATTTTTCAAAGAAACATCCATCTTCACATCTTTAAGACTTACCTTGCACAGATAGACAGAGCCTCGAAATCCTCTTCCCAATTTTTTTTCTTCAATAAAAAATCTCTCGTAATATCCTTGATTAAAAGAATCATGTGAAAGAGTAGCATGTATTTCTTCTTCATGAGAGTTTATGAATGTAAATTCTGTTGAAGGTTCTGTAAAGGGATATGGTTCTCCAATTGGTAATGATTCAGGGTGAACGCTATAAACAAAATCATGAGAATCAATAAATTCGAGCTCAAGACAATGAATAAATTTAAATTAACCTATGGTACTAACCTTTCGGAATTTTCTAGTAAACGAAAATAATTCCTATGTATGAAATCTGTACTTGATGACTTTAATATTTCATTAAAAAATAATTAAACATAAAAAAAACCAAAAAAAAAAAAAAAATATATATATATATATATGAAATATTCGAAACATACCCCAGCACCGGACCTATGATGATTTGTTTCAAAGGGCCTCCCGCAATATGTACACGTGTTTGGTGTAATCAATGCCTTTATTATTTTTTAATAATTAGATTAATATTCCAACCAAAAAGGAAAAATTTTCTTAAATAAATCTTAATTATATCATTAAGAGATAAGAAACCTGAGGTTGTGGGTTATTATTTGGTGGTAACCTTATAACCGAAACGCGTCGATTGGTAGCATTATAAAGAACTAACTGACCAGCGGTTTCGTTACGCCTGAAAATTATCTCATGATATTAGAAAGAAATTTAATAAAACTTTCAAAACTTTATTGATAATAGCTTACAATATGACTGTCCACTCTTTAGCGTAAGGAACAAGTTGACTATCCATATTAAGGCCAGGTGGTACAAGTTGTTGAGAACTTCCTTCTCCAGATTGACCGTAAGTAAAAGTATTTCTTCTAGACCTCATAACGTTTCCAGTCGGTTGATTATACAAAAAAACAGAGCTGGGTTGAACGCTGGTGGTAATATCATCGGAATCAGCATATCCATCATATGACGTCAATGGATGTTTGGTGACATAATTTGATAGTTTCATTTTTATTCTCAAAAAAAAGTGAGAGACAAACTATGGTCAGCAATTTGCTTTCCCAAAGTTAAAATAATTTAAAAAATATCAAAAAATATCAGGAGAGAAATTTGTGGTCATCTTTGGTAAGAATTTTATTTTTTAAAAAAAAAAAATTTTTTGGCATCATCAACTTTTTTGGAGAGATTTTTTGGAATGATCAGCGAAATTGAAATTCCGGGGAAATCCCAGATTTGTGCATACATAACAACTTTTTCCCTAAATAGAAATTTATTTAATTCACACAATTTTCTATTTTCTTCCAACTATAGGAGAACCTTTTCTACTAGCATACTCAGTCCAACTACCATCATAAACGGCTAATTTTTTAACACCAATTTTTTCTAAAGCTAGATATAACATGGTAGCAGTAACCCCACTACCACAACTTAATACAATAGGTTTATTCAAGTCAATACTTTTGGTTTCAAATAATCTTTTTAACTCGTCATCTTGTAATAATGTCGTCTTTGTCTTTGGATCAATTATTGAGTTAAAGGGAACTGAATAAGAATATGGCATGTGTCCACTTGGTAATCCTGTAATTATAAGAATTTATTAAAAAAAATCTCTCTCTCTGGATTTTTGTTTATTTTGTATTACAGTTACCTGGTCTTGGCTCTGGTGCTATGCCTTTAAATCTAATCAATTAAAGAATTTTATCGCTTCATAAATTTTTAAGGCAAAAAAAAAAAACCTTTGTTAACACAAACACCCAACAACTACCTCGCTTCAGGTCTCGCATCAATAACTTGTTCAAAATTTGATGAATCAGGTCCTTCATTTATATTCCTTCTAATATCTTCATAATTTCTAACAACTTCTTTCCTTAATGTTGGAGTTTTATATGTTTTTGGCTAAAACAAAAAAATAAAAATGTTAAAAAGCAAGTTTTTTTTAAAGTAAAAAATAGATGATATTTTTTACTTACTTTAAATGTAACTGGACCACTTTCTATTTCTCTCTTTTCAGCCATCCACTTAGGTAATCCTCCGTCAAGAACAGATGCTTTCTCATGACCAAAGACCTTTATTGACATCAATTCAAGGAAAAAAAAAATTGTTTTAGTTAATAACGAATAAAAAATAAACATTTGACGAAAAATCGTAAATTATCACTTTGAAAGTCCAGTAAACTCTAGTAGAAGAAAATAATCCAATTGAATCATAAACTACAACGTGATCGTTTTCAGAGATTCCCAAATCACCTACAGCATAAATTAAATTTGAATAAAATTCTGCAAAAATATATAATTTTTTGTTTTACGAACCTACTGCTTTAGCAAATTCTGCAGGACTCGGTAACATATGAGGTAAATCAGTATTTATATCTTTAATTTCATCAATTCCAAAAAATCTTGCATTCTAAATAAAATCATTTATTATTTTTTTTTTTTTTTAAAAAAAAGTATAACTAATCACCTTAATTCTTTTTTCCAAATATTCCTTATAGGGATCTCTGTTAGCATTTGGCATATGCCAAGATCCATCTAGAAGTATGATGGAATCGGGATTTTGTGCAACCCATTCGGTTGAAACGACGTTTTGGACAATGGTTGAAGACGACATTGCTGCGTATGTATGATTAAAAAATTTAGCGAAGTAAATTATTTTTTATAAATTAAAAACTATCTTACCACTCCTGAAGCAGAAAATCGATGGTTTATGATGATTAATCAATGAGTGGTCAAACAGAAATGAAGAAGAACGAATACTCTTTGCAATAAATTTATAAGAACGAAGAATATTCATGATTTAGAATGAGAAAAGGGAATTCCGAATTTGAGTAAAGATGAACAGTGGAGATGGTTAAATAAATGTTTTAGGTAGGATCTGTGACGTTATCATTAGAAAGGAAATTTAGATGACTTTCGTAACAAATATAAATACCTATTTTAAGAGCTAGTCAAAATTATATATTCAGAATAAATGAGAGGTTTTAGGAACATCGTAAATCATATGATCCGTAACGTGATTTTAACTCGAATTACAATATTTAAAATTATGCAAAAGTTCTTCATTTTACGAATCAAAAATAGTCTGCAAGAAATACAATTTTGATCACAATGCAACAAATGATCAATACTTTTGAATGCTTGCGATGAAATACGCGCGAAGGAAATAGGAGACGATTCATTACTAGGTTATTCTCTAAATGATTTTTGTACTATTTTGTTTTACTATTTTATAATCTTAACATAACGATAATGTAATAATCCTAAAAAAAAAAAAAAAATAATGATTCAGAAAATTGACTAATTTTAAAGATCTGAAAGTGCAAGAGAGAATGATCTCGATAGTAACACATATTTACATGTCAATAGCTTTATGTTTCATATTTAATTGATTTAGGTTGATTAGGATTGTCTATGATATTTTAGTAATTTATTTATTCTACGCGTATTTGATTTAAATGTTCGAAACATAAATGGGATAAATCAAACAACTTTGTTGATACAATTGCTTTGATACGAAATAATTATTTAAAGTAGATGATATTTAATATAGAACTTTATTACATAAATCGGACTCTGTTTAATATATGGGACCTTTGCAAGAGAAAAAATCAATTTTACTTTTAAATACCAAAAATGGTTATTAGGCCAAAATATTCGGTAGTTTCCCTTATTTTTTTTTTGTACAAATAAAACGTGTGTTGTACAAATAAAAGCTATAAATACGCAACATGTGCATTTCATTGTCACACAGCAAGACTCTATTAACTATTAATGAGTTCATCTTCAGATAACAGCTCTTATAGTAAAATTCCAATTTTGAATACTTTACATATCATTTATAAAAGGTTTAAAGATAATGGATATATAGGTTCGAAATGTCCAACATGTAACACGAAAAGGGTAGGAATATATTGGTGTAAGAACTGTAACTCGGAATATTTTCGTAAAGAATTTTCGAAATGGACTAGCGAGAGTTCATTTATGGATAGTTTTATACAAAATTTACAATTAAGCTCTCATAATTCTCACCAATTCGTTGAATGGATACCATTTAATCAATTCAAAGATATCAAACTAATAGCCAAGGGAGGCTATGGTGTAGTTTCATCTGCTGTTTGGTTGGATGGACCTATTGGAAATACAAAGTTATATCATAGATTACTTGGAAAATACATAGTACGAGATGGTCCAACTATCATTGCTTTGAAATCGTTGAATAACTCTCAGAATTTGATCATGAAATCCTTACAGGAGGTATGTGAATGATCATCTTTCATTAATTGTTTCCATTTTAAAACTAAAATCCTCTCGTCATTTACTAGTTGATCCCAGCGATCATTATTAGATCAAATTATACAACGAATCGAATCATACGTTGTTATGGATTATCTCAAAATCCAGAAACAAAAGATTATATCATTGTAATGCAATACGCGGACGAAGATTTACATAAATATTTAATTAAAAATTATATAAATATAACATGGAAGGATAAACTCTTGGCGTTACAGGATATATCATGGGGGCTTGCATTCCTGCATCAGGCGGGATTGATGCATTGCGATTTTCATAGCGGTAACTTGCTAGTTAGATCAGAAAGGTCAGGAAGATCAGAACGTAGTTGGGGAAGGTTTCACATAGGTGATTTAGGTTTATGTAGGCCAATCGACCATGATCGGAATCAAGAGAACGAAACTAGAATATATGGAATATTACCTTATGTGGCGCCAGAGGTTATAAGGGGCTTCCCTTATACACCTGCTGCCGATATTTATAGTTTTGGTATGATCATGTGGTTACTCGCGACGGGACGACAACCTTTCTTTGACAGACCACATGATTTACACTTGGCTTTCGATATTTGTGATGGCGTTAGACCCGAAATTTATACTGGCATACCAGAATGTTATTGTGATCTGATGGAAAGATGTTGGGATAATGATCTTTTAAAACGACCTTCCACGAAAGAACTATGTGATATATTCATCAAATGGAGGTTTTATTCTCCCGAGCATAAAGCAATTTTTGAACAGGCTGGTAACGTTTCGAAACAAATCCTAAATATTGCAAGCGATCCTAAAGCTATTTATACCAGTAGATTATTGAATTTTCCTAATTTACGGCAAAACCTTTCAACATTGCATCATAAAATCATTGATGGTAAGAAAGAGGGAAGGGATTTATTTTTATCATGATCCAAATTATTGATTTTATGTTATGATTTGTAGTTCATATTAAGGAAGAGGAAATTAAAGAAGAGGAAGAAGGTAAAAGATCATATCATAGGCAAAAAAAAAAAAAATTAGATTTGGAATTAAATTCTAATTTAAAATTTTATTTTTTTTAGAATATAAGACAAGACAATTAGAATTAGACATAAATATAGATGACTTGGAATATTGTAAGTATTATTAATCATATTTTATAATAAAGTAATAATTTAAAATTTTTTGATTATTGATGAATGAGACAATAAAGGAATGTAAAGATATTTTAAGACTTAGATATAAATAAGTATTCTAAAATTTTACATAGCATTGGTATAAATTTCTAAATTATCGTTAAGAAAATGTTTTTGTAATTATAATATACATATATAATCAAAAAAACACTTGATTCATTATTTATTTTTTTTTTTTTTTTAAAAAAAAAAAAAAAAAGCTTAAAAACTTAGCTATATCAATAACTTATTAATTCATTTCATATTATCACGTTTCTTTTAATCGTCATCACTACTAACAATATTAATATTAAAAGAATCAACAATATTATGCAATTCTATAGTATCGTCTTTAAAATCAACTTCTTTTGAATTATTGTCACTCTTTGCTTGTTGTTTGGACAATAGTAATGTAGTCATTGTGATAATAGATTTTAAACTTGACATTGATTTAAATGACCATCCTTCAATTTTAATGTATTGAATGACATTTCCAATTGCTCCGAAATTTATTGCTATTAATAAGAAAAATCAATCTGATCAAGTTCACATTTAAATCATGAACAATTCTACATGTAATTGAACACGTACGTACCTGTTGATGCTATCGCATGTATTAAAATATGATCCATCTAATGATTTCATTAACGATTAGCTTAAGAAAAAAGAAAAAAAAAAAAAAAGAAAGGTGAACCACACCAACAAGATTCTTACCTGTAATAAGGTACCGAGACAATAAATCAAAATTGGAATATATTGTAACAAAAACATTAATATGTATCTAAAGATTTTCAACGTAACCTGATTTTCAATTGAATTTATCCTTGAACTGTTAGTTTGTTCACGATTAATAGATAAGATTTCAATATTTTTAATAATCAGTAGAATGTGTAAATATAAGATTAAAATGGTAACCAATATGAATATAATGAATGTTAGGAGAATTCCTGGAATTATTTTGCTTTTTGGTATATTTGCGCACCTGATCATAAAATATTATATTAATACAGAAAAAAAAAGATTTTGAATAATTAATTCAAAAATGATATATATCTATATCTAATTATTGATCATGTAATTACCAATATTTACTTGCACCGAATTCACTAAAGGAAACACAATCCGATATTAAGGCTATCCCGGCGATGATAACCCATAATTTGAAATCATATTTTCCAAAATTAAATATTATTTCTTTTACTACCCGTAACCAAGTCGTTATTGCAATAAATCCAATCAGTAATAAATTAAGTAAAATAAATGTAATCATTAATCCACCAAAGAATTCACAGGCTGGTGATGATAACGTACGTTTATAAATCATTGTGTATGCCTAATTATTTATGAAAAAATGTTAAGAAAATCGTGTTCTACTTGGGGCAAGATCACGTGATACTTACAATATTAATGGTATGTGGAACTGCTAGTCCAAAGTCTGTAAAATTACATGAGAGTCATTTATGAGTGATAAATTTTTTTTTTTTTTAATTGTACAAGATTTAAATAATTTTACCAGTTATAGCGATATAAAAAGGAAACCTAAGTGACAGGGGGATGGTTTTGCGAGAGCTACTGCGCCATTTAATGAATGTACCTGGAATAATTTATTTCAGCACGCGTAAATCTTTAAAAAGTACGAAACGATCAAATAATTTTTTGGCTTTACGCTTACGATAAAAGATATATAAACTTCCGATCCAATTTAATTGTAAAAAGAATAAAGAAACGCCAGACACGATATAAAGATCTCTTAAACCATTATCTAAATTGACATCTATTATTGCATCATCGACGGGAAGGGAGGATAAAGGTGAACCGCTAACAAATTTTTCAAATAAAATAATGGTTAAAAATATACGAGATTTCATTTTATCATCAAAATTTCAAGTATTTATACGGTCATGCGATTAAAAATTAATAGATATATAGAGTGAGGAAAAGAAAAGCTTCCAATCAATCAAATCCCAATTAATTTTATAGAACGGATCAAATCTATCACGTGGCGATAAGATTTATTTTTTACAAGGTATCTCAAGATAAAGCAAAAAAATCTCGTTATTTCAATGATTGCAGGATTGTTTTGTTTATTCGAGTCGATCACAACACATTGCCAATAAAAGTTGAATTTTGCGAAACGATTTTCTTTTGATTCGTGTCTTTAAATATTTTTGGCGTTTAAAGACTAGGGGGGAAACAAAATAACAGCAAATTTCTTTCACAAAGAATAAACAGTCCCCAAATGATTACTTTCCATGCAGCAATTTGAAATGAACCTTAAACGGTTATTCTAAATTCGGTATTTCATTTTGTAATGATTCGGAAGAGTCTTCCTCAATTTTACGAGCTACCGCGCACTGATCCACTAGTTTTTTTCTTTCAGTTTTTTTTTTTTTTATTTTTTTTACGGTTTTTTGTTGATCGACATTCGCCGGGTCGTTTTCGTGCTACGTTACACGTTACCTATTGTATGGTATATTACAAATTAAATGTTTGTAATACATGAATACATGCAATTAAAAAAATGTGAGAAAAAATTTTTATTTTGAGAAAATAATAATACAAAGAATTGTCATTCGGCGTACTTTATTAGATATATTTAGACAGAAGATCCAAACTAAATTAAACAAATCATTTCAATATATCTAAAATCAGCGAACCACAATTTATTAAGAAATGGGAATACCAAATACCAAAAGGAAAATATATATATATATATATTATATTATATAAAATAATATAACTTTTTATGGACGACATAATCGTTTGCTTGTAAATACAGCATCAGGATGTATCGTATAAGATGTACGCATATCCGGAATTTCTTTATCTGCTTGTTCAAAAGCTTTCCTAACATTTATTGCATTATCATTATTATTGCGTCCTCTTATGCATTCTTCCCATTCCCACAAATGATCATATAATTCATTGGCGGTAGGTCTTTGATCTGGACTAGCGTCCATACATCTATATGCCAAGTCTTTATAGAACTCGGGAGTTCCTCTTCCAAATTCTGGACGAAGTCCATTACAAATATCTATTGCGAGAATATTATCATGTTTTTTATCATGATGGGGAGGCTTCCCGCTTGATAATTCTACCATAATAATTCCAAAACTATAAATATCGGCTGCGGTTGTATAAGAATTCCCGCGTAATACTTCTGGAGCCACGTAAGGTAAAACTCCATATACTTCATTTGAAGATTTATTTGCTGGTCCGGATAATCCAAAATCTGTTAAAAAAGAGGCGCTTTTCTCTAACAAGACATTGCCACTGTGAAGATTTTTGTGACAATATTCAAGCTCATGTAACTTATTAATATCTAGGATCATACATTTTAAAAATGAAATTTTCTTTGACCATGAGATATTATTGAAATTTTTGGTAATAAAATTTCTTAAATTACCATTATTAACTAATTCTGAAACCATTATAAATTCATTCGTCTCGGGGTCTTTTGATATGCCAAAAAAGCGTAAAAATCCCCCGTTCAAGTATAATTGGTAATGAATTTTTATCTATTCGAGGAAAAAATATATTTATATATATATTTATATTTATATTTATATAATCATAAGAATATTATGTATATATATATTTTTAAAAATAATTTACCTCGTTTAAAAATGAAGAAGAAATTTTTTGTGATCCTTTAAACCGTTTTAATGCAACATTTATGGGAGGTGTTCTTGACTTTTTATTGAATTTAGTGATTTTTCTTCCGTCTATCCAGGTGGCCGAATATACTTTGGCAAAACCTCCTTCACCAACTTGTTTTATATATTTAAATCTATCATATTCAATCCATTCAAGGTAGATCCAATATGACTTTGCATTAATTTGAGTTTCTTTGATAAAATCATCTATATCTTTATTTCCACTCGTCCATATTTTTGCTTTTAACAATTTGGTGTCACAATAAGCGCACCATGCGTGCGCAGTATTCGGACCATTGCAATGCTCACATGTTCCATAATTTTTACGCCTCCTTTCATTCATTTCACTCTCTTTTTCATTTCTAAACACGGGATTCATAGTACTAGTATTATTGCTTGTCATATTTTTAATAATAATAATAATAATTAATAGAAAAAATGAAATTTTTTTTTTTTAAAAAAAATTTTTTTTTTATTTTGACGTTTGAATAAATTGGGAACGATTTATAGGAAAAACAAAACCCCCTTTGAATAATTGGATTAACATTATTCTGTAAAATAAAAAGCTTTATAACATGCACTAATGCGTCAAAAGCCACAATTAGTTATTAAATCTAAGCTTTTTATGAACCCTCAATGAGCCATTTTTGGTATCGTTTTAAAAGTCGACTTATTTATTTATATCTCAAATAGGATTTTTTTTTTCTGGGTGATTCAATTTCTATATATATATATATATATATATACACAGTATAGATTAATGATTATGATTTATGTTCCATTCAATTTCAATGGAAGCGATTGGAAATGGATTTTGGTCCTCAAAGAGCTTCCATTTTTTGCAAATTTGACAAATAATGACGAAGATTGTTTATAATTTATGATGAAATCACAATTGTATTCTGGTGACACATTTCTAGGTCCTTCTTTTTTTTTGAAATATGAATTCGATAATAACCGCAGCATAATCTCGCGTCTCGTTACGGTATCAACAATAATGTTCACCATCAACTTTTGTCAACATTTCAAAATCAAAGAGAACGATGATTTTTTAAAAAAACTTATGTAAACAGATCTGCAAACGAAGCGAATGATGCTTATTCAGATCTGATCAAAATAAAAGCAACGTGTGATTTTGACGTAAAGAATATGCCTAAGAATCCTCGATCCGTAGAAACTTTTCATCAACCTCAATAAATGCTTTTCGTGCGAATTCGTAATTACATATCCGAGATTTTTTTTTGAGGTACTTTTGCGCGTTTTGCAGATTCGATTAGAGTGTTGATACGTAACAACCAGCCTCATGAAAATCTTAATTAACAAACGGATATAACCCTTTTTATATTATAGATTCAAATAGGGAGTGAGAAAATGCATTTTTTTAAAGCTTTTGATTTTAAACTTGACATTATAAAGAAAAAGTGAAGGAAGGTTTGTAATACAATTGCCTTGTCTATAAAATGGTGCCAATGATTTATCCAAGATTACATTGATAAAATCTACTTTTTTAATATTTTTTTTCTTTCATCCTCATTTCTTTCATAAGATTCATTCAGCGTTGGACGAAAATCATACTCGTCAATGAAAACAAATTTGGGGACAATAATAGTTGATCGAAGCACTCTCAAATTATGATATAGTTCAGTTTCCATATCTGGTAAGTCAGCTAGTACGTAATTTCGTTAAACGCATTGATTAATCAAAAGAATTAACCTTTCCTAGCGAATCGGACTTTTAAATAATAATATTAAGTGATCTTCTCCTGAATGACGTTATCATACTGTTACGCTAACTAAAATCAAAGATTACGTCACTTTGAATCAATGTTTATACGCATGGAACTTAAACTCATCCTAAAAATTTAATTTGTGTTACATAAACTGTCATGATGATATAATGATTCAAGGTTTGGACTAATACATATCACAGATCCTGACTAAAAAAAAAAAAGAAATTAACGGCATATGTAAATTTTCATGCTTATCTGATTTTAAAACTATGAATTTTGTTGAAAAATTTTAGAATATATTTTTATAATGAAAAAAGTTGATGATAATATAAAAATAAACAAGTTATTGATAGATGATGATAAAGTTAATAAACACCTTTTTTGTTATTTATATATAAAATTTTGCAAAGAAAACCAAATTTAATTTATTTAATTGAATAAGAAACATTATAAAAAATGATTTTGTCCTAAAGATCATAAAAATGAAGGTGATAAAAGTAGCCGATTATGCCTAAATAATATAATTATATTATTTAGGCATAATCAGCTTAGATTAGGTTATTTAATAATAAAATAACCTAACTATAACTAAATAATCTAAATATAACTAAATAATCTAAATATAACTAAATAATCGATATATTACCAAATCATTCGTGAAATAACCTAACTATAACTAAATAATCTAAATATAACTAAATAATCGATATATTACCAAATCATTCGTGAAATAACCTAACTACAACTA